CAGAGGTGGTAGAAATATGGGAAGGACTTCTATATAGGAACTAACTGAGAGCAGTTTTGTAATCCTGAAAAAGAGGTAACTGTGGAGCCTATAGCAGAAACCTGGATAGTCAACAGAGGAAGTTAAAGTTATTAGCTGCTTCTCATAAGAAATAATGAGGTGTAAAATGAACCTAGTGCAGAACAAACAAGAGAGGCAGTACTGTAGCATAGTTAATTTGAGAAACTCAGTGTCATAGGATGCTCCAATGCAGCCTAAGAGACAATTTTGTCAAAACGAGATAAATGGCTCTGACTTTATCTTGCCATTATAATTAATGGATGGAACATTTCAGTGGGAGTGCTAGGGTTAGTAGTCATGCCTATCTTATCAGCAATTGAATTTTTCTTAGTGAGATCTCTTTTGTTTTCCTTGCAAAGAAAGATATTTCTAGAAAAGTAAGTAGAAAAGATTACACTGGTTGGGATCTGGTTAGAACTGAAACACAGCTCCCCAAATACATATTCAGCTGGCTACTTGTCTGGATACTTTCCTCAGCACATGACAATGGGCTCAATTGCACAAATGAGCCCTATAACACTCTTCTGAAAGAGGGAAGTAAAATTTGCTCATACAAACTGCTTCTTGTGGCTTGTCCAGAGATGTGGCACAGCCTCAAGCAAAAGCATGTTGAACTGGAAGTCCACTATCAATACACAATGTCTCCATCTGCTGATTGCTAACAGAGATTTCCATATCCTTTTGTATAACCCAATGGAAAGCACACTGCTGATGCTGTGATGAATGTCTGCTTCCAAGCAGGAAGAAGATCTTTTGTTAAATCTGGTCTCTAAATACAGCATTGCCTAGCAACTATGGGAAACAGAGACAAACCAAAGCATCAGAGAACATTTCACCTGATGCAGCTTGGGGCTTGGAGGTTTTTGGTTTGGTTGGTTGTTTTTGTGTGTTCTTAAGTTACCCCAGTTCAATCCTGTGTAAAACAATATTAGGTGATTTAAGTCTTATCATAATGGAAGCAAATGATAATCTTACAGGAGGATTGTCAGGACAACATTTCTAAGAGCATTGATTCACTGACTACGAAGAAATTCAGACCCAGTAGTTAATTAAATGGCAAAGAGCCTCAGCTGGTTGTGTCTCTTGTTACTTTGTCCTAAATCTTCGTCATAGAGTCAGAGCATTACGTATATACCAACATTAAGCCCATGGCACTCCAAAGGTGCACCAGAATACCTCTCATGCCTTGTAGCAGCACTTACCCTCTCTTTCCTTTTTTCCAGGAGTTATTCCAGAGTATGAGCTGAAGTTTAATAATGACTAATTCATAGTTTGCCTCCCCAGAAGATTCTGGGTTAAATAACATCACTTTGGCAAGGGTCCATGGAGCAAATAATTTTGTTAGAGCTTTTATGCTAGCAATACCAAGCCCCTTTACACAGCCTTGGATGTGAAATCATGGACATCTTGAACTGCTGTCTGAGTGATCTATGGCTGCTCAGCTAGATTTCCTGTATGCACTGCTTCCCTATACTGAAAAGTGCAGGACATATTTTATTTAGCATTGACTTGCCAGAAAAAAACCTTGCCCTGAATATGTATGTAAGAGGAAGACAGAGGAACTGCATATGGTTTTATATGATTGCTAATGTGTACTTAAACTGTTGAGAAATGAGGCTTTCCATAAAATAAGTTTTTGCCTTTTCTATAAATGTCTAAGGAATATGTATTTTGAGTTGCTTCTGGGTGAACTCTGGACTGAGCTCACCTGCCTCAATATACTCCACTGCCAGCTGCAGCAACACTGGCTAGCTGAGCCCTTAAACACCTGAACTGCCCTTAAACATCTCAACCTTTCTGTACCTGCAGCTGGAGTACAGTTGAGGTAGCCCAGGGCATGTTGAGTGGCACTAGCCAGCCCTGGCAGGCAGATGCAGGGTCCCCTGTCATGTCTGTGTCTAGTTTAATTTAGGGAGTCCTGATTCAATTTTTATTTACATATAATATAATGCCAAACATCTGCTCAGTGCTCTACCAACATTTAAGCCAGTGCATTTAAGTTGGTACTTTCCTGCTGGGCTCAGTCTGACGTGCATCATTTCAGAGACATTGAGCAGAGACTGTAAGTATGTGTGGCATCTTGCTTACAGAGAGCAAACTCTGCTTTTATAGGAAGCAGTCAAATCAGCAGGCAAATATGCTGGGTTTTAGCATGCTTTTAATTTCTGAATATGAAATATGTAAGGAAATAAAAATCTCTAGCATTTTCTGGTCAGGGCAGCACAAGCTCTAAATAAAGAGGCATTGAATGTTGCTGCTCATACACTGAAAGCACATCTGTGACTGCTGTGTGATACATAAACACCCAGGCTAATGCTAAACCTGAATTCACTGGGTTATTAATAACAGCACAACTGGGTCAGCAGCATATTGAGTGTAAACTGATTTTTCATGTTTCCTGGGTAAGTTTGCAGCCTACACTATGCTTTCTGCAGTTGTAACTAGACCATCATTGAATAGGAGTTAGGTGATGTAAAACTTATAAAAATAATTTCTGCACTGCAGTTATTGAAATACCAAGGCATTCTAGATTTGTATTACATTTAGATCAATCAAGGAGGATGCTAAGGCTTATATCTGGATTCAGGGGCCTAAACTTCCTGATTTGGTCTCAAAATTTGGAAATTTTGTCAAACATGCTCTGATTGAGACTCGCCACCATGCTGAACAAAATCCTTAAAAATGTGCAGTTTCGATTGTATCCTTATCTAAAGGGAAAATAAGTTACTTTTAGATTAGAACTTCATGTAAAACAAGATTGAGAGGTGGGGTTTTTTGGTGCACTATCTGGTCTGAGGAGTTAGTAGGCTGCATAGCCAACCCTGCCATCTGCCTCCTTCTGCAGGAGCCTCTTGAAAAAGGGCCAGTTCTGTTTGATTGATGTTTCACAGTATGGAACTATAGAATCTTTAAGGTTAGAAAAGACCTCAGAGATCATTGAGTCCAACCTTTGAGTGAGCACCATCTTGTCAACTAAACCATAGCACTAAGTGCCATGTATGGTCATTTCTTGAACACCTCTGAGGATGGTGACTCCACCACTTCCCTGGGCAGCGCATTCCAATGCTTAACCATCCTTTTTGTGAAGAAATTCTTCCTGATGTCCAGCCTGAACCTTCCCTGGTGCAGCTCGAGGCCATTTCCTTTCATCCTGTTGCTAGTTGCCTGGGAGAAGAGGCCGAACCCCTCCTTGTTACAGCCTCCTTTCAGGCAGGTGTAGAGAGAGATAAAGTCTCCCCTGAGCCTCCTTTTCTCCAGGCTAAACAGGCCCAGCTCCCTCAGTCATTCCACATATAACTTAGTCTCTAGTCCCTTCACCAGCTTTGTTGCCCTTCTCTGGACACACTCCAGCACCTCAATGTTCTTCTTGAAGTGAGGAGCCTACAACTGGCCACAGTATTCAAGGTGTGGCCTCACCAGTGCTGAGTACAGAGGAACAATCACTTCCCTAGCCCTGCAGGCCACATTATTTTTCACACCAGCCAGGAAGACATTTGCCTTGTTGGCCACCTGGGCACACTGCTGGCTCCTGTGTAGGCAGCTGTCAATAAGCACCCTCAGGTTCTTTTCCACCAGGCTCCTTTGCAGCCACTCTACTCCAGTCCTGTAGCACTGCATGGGGTTGTTGTGACCCAGGTGCAGGACCTGTCACTTTGCCTTATTGAAACTCAGGTGCAGGACCTGTCACTTTGCCTTACTGAAACGCATAAAGTTGGCCTTGGCACATAAATCCAGCATTTCCAGATTTGTCTGCAGAGCCTTCTTATCCTCCACCGGATCAACATTCCTACCCAACTTAGTGTTGTCTGCAAACTTACTGAGAATGCACAAAATAGTATTACACTATCTAACTTCTAGGCACCTAAACCAGCTAATGACTTGATACCAGGTAGGTAAGTAATTATTTCTTATTTGTATAAAGATTTAGACTCTGAGACATTAGATTAGAGAAGTCTGCACTCTACATGAGGCACTCACTCAAAGCAGGCAAAGTCAGGCTCTTCTTTGTGACTTAAATACCTCATTATGCCCTGGAGAAAGAATTGACAGACTGAAACACTTTCCTGAGGGTTGGTCCTGAGTTTGATCCTAAGTACTTTTCTCTCAACAGATGGATGCTGATCTTCTAGCAATGCTCTGGGTTAAGTTCTCACTGACAAGCCTGTATTTAGTCTTTTTTCTTCCTAAACAGATTGGTGGTCATGTTTCTTCCTCTCTAAGAGCTCTCCAGCTAGTATGCTGGAGTAGACATACTCAGTTTTGTACAGCAGGAACCAAAATAGTTTTTGAAACTTTTTTCCTAGAAACATGACATCTGAAGATCTGAGATATCCTCCCATCCATGTCCCCCACAGCTATGCTATAGATGAGAGGAGATTTTTGAAGATCTGATTTTAGTTCTAAGCATGGGAAAGGAGATTTAATCTTCCTATTCCTAATTGTTTCATTGCATTTTCAACATAAATCGTATGCTGCTGTTGATTTATAATGAAACACACTCTGTTGTTGGTATTTTTGTGTCTAAAATGCTTAACAACATTTTTTATCTCAAAAGTCTTTCTTGTTATATAGCAACAAGACCATGCAGAATATAAAATTATTCTAGCTCAATATTCTCTTTGGGTGCTGCACATTGAAACTTAAGTTGTCCATTATTTGTCTTTCTGCAACTAGGCAAAAATTCTTATAAAACAGAATAATTGTAATAGTTTTCTGACAAGTCCAATTTATATGGTACATTGCCACAAAAGACTACTTAAGAAAATGCAGAATGGCTATACAAACCTGCTACTATGATTTGAAACTCCTTGCAAAGCTACATATGACATACTATCAAAACTACAAATACATATTCAATCTGACTGTTTTAAAAGGAAATTTTATAAATATTCAAATTTAAGATCAACAAATACAGAATAAAATGCACTAGGAAACTGATATGTAGACAAAGGTTTATTTACACCATACAACATTTTAAATATTTTATACACAGCTGCAGCAGAGAAAGCTACTCTGAGCTTTCCAGAGAAAACTGCAATAATAAAGATGTGAAATATATTATTCATATAAAAGTGAGATTATTACTTTATTGCATTTAAAGCAATGAAGAATGTAGCTCAACAGACATTCATTTAATGACAAAACCTTTGCTTTTATATTATAAAGTAAAAAGTGTAGTAATGGCCAAACAGACTGTTATAAACTTTAAAAACTGCATAAATATATACATTGTGCTTCATGGTGAAGTTTTTTGAAAACTAAACCAAATGAAGCTGTTACAACATGAATCGTTGCTTGAGGTTTATCTATAAAGATTACCTTACAAATCCATTCCACGGGTACTTACAACACACGATGGTAAGAATTGTACACCTGGTTCTCCACTAGTTGCACTAGTGGGAATATACTGTACGAAAAAAACCACTGACATTTGGCACAGGAAGAGCCTGACATAAAGGAGTCGCAATGTTCAGACAGGAGCGTCAGGATTCCCAAAGTCTCTTTATTGTCAGTGCAATGAATTTTTTTTTTGTTTCGTTTCTGGTTCATTCAGTTCGTTTTTGTTAAACTTCTGTTTGAAAGTCACCTTCTTGCACATCTAAAGGCAAGTTCAGACACTTCTCCCATTCTGCTGGTCTGAGTTCTAAAGCATCTTTTGCCTCTGTGTCTAATACGTTTATCGTTGTATAGTGTTGGTAGTCGCCTGTGGTTTTGAAACTGTCCCATGGAGCCTTGCTCGGTCCTGAGTTCTCCTGAAGAGCAAAGAAAGAAGAATTAAAACCAAGGATGCAATAATGCAGTTTCCATTTATAAGGCTGATTGCTAACGTGCTCTCATGAGACACAGAAGCCGGAGATGGGAAATGGCTTTGCAGGGAGCCAGGCTGGCAGGTGTTCAGCACTGTTGTGACTTTCCCTGTGAACAATGAACACTTTGGCAGGCTCCTCACCTGAGCTGCCAGCTAAGCCCTTTCTTTCACAAGAACCAATGTATGTGAGGAATGGCCAAGTGATCCAGTACCAATAGCCATCTTCCTAATAGTGGTTGTGTAGAAAAGTGGGAGAAAAGAAGGGAAGGTAATTGAGAAGAGTTTGCTGCCTGAAATATGGAGTGTTTTGAAACAGAGGTTGCCAGCTGGATTTTAAATTGTGGCAGGTGCATGACAGAACCATGGAAACCTTGAATATGCTGTAAGAGCCACCTTGTTTTACATGCTGATGAGCTCATGTGTATTAGAAATAACAGGCTGAAATATAGTTATTTTCTACTGAATGAATTTTTTTTGAATGCTATGTTATAGGGTAAAAGACATTATGGACTACGACCAATTTAATTTGTGATTTCTGCTGTAACATGACTGGTGGGATTTAGTTGCCAAAACCTAACATATTTTGTGCCATTTTAGACACCTTTGGAGTTTCTGCTTTATCTCCAACTATTTTTCATGACAGGTCAGGGTCTCCTTTGAGTCCCGTGTCATCACTGCCTGTACTGTGCTCTAAACTAAGACCTCTAAGACTATCTAAAAATAACCTGAGATGCCTATATTTAGGTACCTGGATCACTCTCTGGCTCTCTCACAGATAGACCATTCCTCTAGGCAGACCTTTCAAAAACACAGCGCCAATGCAAAACAGAGTAAACACAGCTCTTCCACTGAAATTCCCTTTGAGATTTTGAATTAATTCAAGCTTTATGTGAACAGCAAATCTCAAGTAGGGAGACAAATGGAAACTATATATCAGCAAATCTCAGAAGAGGGAGTGTGCAAGAACTTGATACAAATAACACGTCATAGCTAAAGGTTTGTCAAAGAATCAGGGCTAAATTTCTGCTGGTTTAAGATGATGTAAATGATGTAAATCCATTGGCCTCACATCTGCTTAATACCTCTTCTTCATGTCTGAGAGCAGCTTTTCTGAAAAAGTTATAGAATACAATGATTCTAGCTCAGTTCCATTTAATATACAATTTTCAAATTATAAAATTATATAAAAATAATTACTAATCAAAATATTGCGGCTAACAAATATGTCAGACTAAATTAGCTGTTTTAATTAAGCAGAATCAACTATTTCCTTGCTCTCATTATCAGAGGTAGTCAGGGTGTTATGCACGTGTGTATGAGTGTGTGTGTATAAATTTGAATTATGATGATAGCAGCCTCAACTCAGGATGATTTAATTTTTGCTTTTCCCATGGTAAATATTTATAAACCTATTATGGAAAAGACATGGCATTACAGAGATCCTGTGTGCTTTCTGGACCATCTCATGTATAGGTAAATCTAGCTGGACTTGTTTATAGTAACTAATTTAATATCTCCTTGCCTAGCTAGAGGAAAAGCCCTATTGGCCAAATTAGATCAGCGAGCTGATTTCTCTATATAAAGCCCTTTAGACTTAGGAGGCACATCCAGATTTGAAATGTGTTCCCTACAGTTCAATTACCTGTCATCTATAATGATGTCAGTGAGTTAGTTATGGTCTAGTTGTAAAACCTAATGAGTCTCCTCATAGGTTAGATTACTGAAAATACCTTTTGTTCTCATTTCTGAGGCTACCTAAAGGTGATGTCTTCTTGGGAAATGTACCAAATTCAAAAGGCTCTTGCTTTGTTGCTGTTGCTTAGGATCCATCAGATTTTAAATATAACAGAAGGAAAACTTACCATACTGCCTGATTTTGGTACATCCCGAAATCTGTCCAGTGTCTGAAATTTCTGATTTAACTCTTGAAACAATTCCATGTGCCTCTTTCTTGTATGCATGACCTTCTGCAAAATGGAACATAATTGCTTATATTTATAATTTAATCTGGGTGGGGTTTTTTTTTAGAGAAGCATTATTTTTCCCAACATAATGAAGTAAATTGAATTTGGCAGGGCCATCTTTTCCCTATAGACTCAACCAATGGAAGTGAATTGCACTGAGCCTTCTCTCCGCTCAGTTTAATGTTCTTCCTGTGTACAAGAGACTGTTTTCACCCCACATTTATTGAGTTGCTGAAATTAGGGGATGCTGGTTTTTGTGCAAGCCTGGAAGTATTCTGAAAGTGATGGCAGTTTCTCAGAAGAATATTTCTCTTGCACATTAGGAGTATTTTACAGAATTTCTGTTTTCAGAATAGATGCTAATATTTTAATTTCTATAGGAATACAACGTTAGTAATGGTCCCTGTCAGAATAATTTTTATGAGAACCCTGAACTCAGAAATCTTGGCTCAAAATGGAAAATCCCCAAATGCTATGTCTTTTTAATTAGATATCTTGTCATTCAGATCATCATAGAATGCAGTTAAAAAGTAGGCACAGTTTTTCAGTTTTACTTGCTTTCTAATTTCATGGACAAAGCTACTGGAAACTACCCTCTCTCTAGTCCATGCATAGGGCACTCTTCCACAAAAACTGATTATATGGCACTCCTGTGTAAGAGGTGAAGACCCCAAACAGCATCCCCCAGCTCTCAGGTCTCAGCCCTGCATCTGTCTGAGCAGCTACATGGGCAGCAAAGCCTGTTTTCAAGTCTAGGTTGTCAAACCTACCATCAGAGTTGTTTTCAAACAAATTCATGCTCAGTTATGGATTCAGATCAGCCTCTGGAGCAAAGTTGAAAACTGCTTACTGTTCAACCAGTCTCATAGTTCTGTGGTCTGGGTGGACTGGGATGGGAGGGACAAAGGATGTTTCACCTCAGTGCAAGAGTGGTTGGGCTCAGCTTGGCTTTTCTTAAGTTTTTGTGAGTGCTTGGACTTGAGTTACAGGGCAGCAGCCAGTAATGCTGATTGAAGAGGTGCAGGACACAGACCTCTGTGCGAGTCCTCTAATTGTCAACCCTGATTTTCCCTGGGGTTGTGTGGGACAAACCCTGCAAACTTATATATGCAGTGCCCAAATGTGACCCTTTCCAGCAAGTAACACTCCTGCCAAGCCTAGGTTAGTACCTTTTGAAATGTAGTGGCAGTAATTGGCTCTCAAATAATACTTTATCAATACTAATTGTATCTTTTATTTGCAAGGTGTGCTTATAGATTTCATGAAACCTGGCTGCTCTTTTTGGCCATGCATTTCTACTGCTGCGCTCTAATAACAATATTATCCTTAATATAGCCATACCATAGCTTGAAAACTTGTTTCACTTCTGAGAACAGGAAATTGGCAACATTATTCACAAAAGAGATGTGAGATACATAAAGCAATTAAAGATCAATTAGCTTAACATGGGTTTTAAGGTGAATAAAGGAAAACATTTTGCAGGATTGGGTAATAAACTCCTTTCAAAACATAATTTGACTAGAGATAGGTGATCTAAATTTATGAGGAGAGTTTCACTTAAGTGAATTCCTAAGAGATTCTTTTAAGATATTGCTGTTATGGTAGAGAGGGGTATATAGCAAATTTAATATACATAGAATTTGAATAAGAAAGATTCTACCTCAAAGATTATTATTGGCTAAAATAAGGAGACATGATCATGGGAATAAATCAGTTTTGATGGGTTAAAATACTGTCGCTAAAAAGCAGGAAATGGCATATGACTGTGGAACAAGTATCCTCATTTGGAAACTTTTTAGTAGAAAGCTAGGAATATAGAGAATGTTACTTTCTGGTATCTTTCCTGAATCGTGTACCCAAGATGTCGTTAAATAGCAAATATGAATAATGCAAATGTCTTACTCAGTTCATTACATTATTCCTGAGGAGAAGCAGGTAGGAGGAGAAATAAAACCCTTGCACTGGGAAGTCTGCCAGAAAAAAAAGGCTTTAAATTTTATTCTTAATAGCAGAATGACTGGTATGAACATGTACCTATGGATCTTTTGGTTGCTTTGTGTTTTCCTGGCTTCCATCCCATAATTCCTACCCACTGACACCCACCCCCTCCCTACTGCTTATAAAGAACAATCTGAACTGAAGGTGCAGCAACTTTAATTTGCAACTTTATTTCCTAGACTTCTTTTAGATTCCTGAAAGCACCATTTTATCTCCTTTCTAGAAAATATGCTCTGTTGGGTAACTTTCATGTGAAAACAACCTACAAAGTATTTGCAGGGGATTAATCTGTTTTCTCTGTTAAATGGACAATATGGAAAACATTGCTTTATTAATCTTAGAAATATGTAAGTTTTATCAACACAAACTGCAGATCTTGACCAATATACATTAGGATGATTGTGGTAGTATCAGGACCTGAGCAGGATATAAAATGAATTTCTCATGGTGCCCTTTGAAAGGACATCATCTCTAGGTGCAGCTGGTGCATTTGTCCATTAATGCTGCATCCTGCTAGAAGCACCTGAGTTTGCTACCAAGCAACAGACATATCTTCTTGTGGTCTTTCCTGCAGGTTCCATAACTCTTGTGCCCCACACACTAAAGAGGTCCACCTGAATTGCCCCTCTTTCCACATTTCTACTCCCGCACATAAGTCAGAGTGTGTGTTTTGAAGAGACTAGGCCTTACTCTGATGAAAATCTACTCACAGAAAAGGATCCAGTGTATGTGTATCCTCAAGATGGGAAGAACTTCAAACACAACTCTGCACTCAGCTCCCTTTTTATTTATGATAGGGTTTTAGCCAAATTGTAGCTCAAGCGCAAATGTTCTCATGAAGATTTCATGACACCCCACCTGGAGTACTGTGTCCAGCTCTGGGGTCCCCAGCATAAGATCAACATGGACTGGCTGGACTGAGTTCAGAGGAGAGCAACAAAGATGAGCAGAGGGCTGGAGCACCTTTCTTATGAAGTCAGACTGAGTTAGGGTCATTCAGCCTGGATGCTTTGGGGAGACCTTATAGCAACCTTCTAGTACCAAAAGGGACCTACGAGAGAGCTAGAAAAGGACTTTCTACACGAACATGTAGGGATAGGACAAGTGGTGATGGTTTTAAGCTGAAAGAGAGTAGGTTTAGATTAGATATATGCACAAATTTTTTTACAATGAGGTTGGTGAGGCCCTTTAACAGGCTGCACCAAGATTGGATTGGAACTGGATGATCTTTAAGGTCCTTTCCAATCCAGCTATTCTGTGATTTTATGATTTGTGTTCAATCTTATAAATAATGATATAATAACAATCATCATCATGACAATGTAATTTAATTTGCCTTGGAGATTTTCTATATTGTTATAGGCAAAAATGTTCTCTCTCAACGATAGTATGAAGCAGCTAAGCAAAAAGAACAGATGGGGGATGATCTTTAAGGTCCTTTCCAATCCAGCTATTCTGTGATTTTATGATTTGTGTTCAATCTTATAAATAATGATATAATAACAATCATCATCATGACAATGTAATTTAATTTGCCTTGGAGATTTTCTATATTGTTATAGGCAAAAATGTTCTCTCTCAACGATAGTATGAAGCAGCTAAGCAAAAAGAACAGATGGGGGAATGCCTTCCCAGCCCTATAATGGAAACATGCTGTGTTTTCAAGATGTTACAGGTATGACCAGGTGCCAAACTTGGAAATAGGAAAGGATTTTTTCCTGCAGGCATTTTTTTTAACCTTTGTCTTCAAGAGATGTCTTCAGGTTATTAAGGGAATGATTTGAAGCTTTTGTGAGTTATAATGAACAGCTATGGCAGATGAGATTCTGAAAGAATGTAGCTCCAGAAATTAGTGATCAATTTAGCATTATTGCTGGTGAGAGTCCAGTACTCTGTGGAATGAAAAGAAGACATTCTGGTGTTCACACTCCTCTGTGTATCCTTGCTCTTCCTCAGAGCCAGAGATGTTCAGTTCTTCACTGTTAGGGTGTTCAGGCACTGGAAAAGGTTGCCCAGGGAGGTGGTGGAGTCACCATCCCTGGAAGTGTTTAAGAGGTGTCTGGATCTGACACTGGAGGATATGGTTTAGGGTTTAGGGGTTCCAGCAGAGTGACAGGTTAATGGTTGGACTTGATGATCTTAGAGGTCTCCTCCAAGCTTGATTATTCTGTGAATCTATGACTTGAATCTCGGGGAGCAGGGTAATAGGACACTTTTCTGAATTATTTGACCTAACTGTTATTACCAGAGTAGATCCAAAGCAATGGCTGATAGAAAGGGGAGAGTGGGGTGGCTGGGGAAATCCAGAAGTCAGACCCTCTCATAGAATTTAAAGGTAATTGTGATCTTGAATCCTACAATGCATGTCAATAGTACTGTTTAACTCCTCTGTATGTTTTTGTAATTGCCAGCACACACCTATTACAAGGTCCTCCTGGGAATTTCTACAGCATCTGTATTTCTGTTCAACATAATTAGAGTGAATTTTATTTGATCTGACAGCTAACTGTTAGTGCTGAGACTTAATGAAGAAGCTACCTGTCCAGCTTTAGGGGAATAAATGACTGGGGTTGGAGGGCACTGAGCTAGGGTTACCACAGCCAGCAGCAGCAAGGATCCAAAATGCCCAGACCTGTAATTTTGGTCATGTTTTGAACACCAGACTGCATGAATGAATCTAAACTAGTCTTTGCTAACAGTAAGAAAAGAGCTGTAAAGCTGTTGCATGTTGACTGTTCATTTAGTAAACTTCAAAGTTCAACTAGATTAGTCAGTGTTTTCAAAATCTAATCATGGACAGTATATTATGTAGCAGAAATATTTTCTGTTGACAGACTAAACTCAGCATGTTGCAGACTGTCTTTTTTTCTACATAAAGGGATAACTGAAGAATGCAATGGTAAACTATTTAAAAAGGGAAAACGGTATACTGGTGCCCAATTTTGAGACCCTTCTCTCTAACAAGCTTGAGATCTATGATAAGGGCTGCCCAGTTTTGATGGAATCTTTTTCTCTCTCCCTTTCCTTTGACTGGAGGCACAAGTTTTCTATAACAGCACTCACATAGTCATATAGGATTTTCATTATTTACAGTCCATTGCAAAGGCCCTTAAAACTGCACCTGTATTTCTGCATGTGCTGGAGATAAAAAGGACAGAGAGTATTTTATAGTGTTGAGCAGTCTTAGTCTGCCTATGTTCACACTAGATAGCATCTGGCTTTGAGTTTCATCTGTGTCCCTCAGAGAAAAATTGCTTTTCTCATGTTTATTTGTTTTTCTTTCAAATTCTCTACATTATGGAAAATGTTTCATTGCAGATCACTAGTACAGTCTTTTTTTCTTTCTTTTTAAAAAAATCTACACTATGTAACTGTGACTCTACAGTAGTAAGTCGAACATGTACAAGACTATTTTCTGGCACCATCTAACAGGCTTTGGGGAGACCTTATAGCAAGCTTCTGGTACTTAAAGGAGCCTACAAGAGAGCTGGAAAGGGACATTTTACAAGAACATGTAGTGATAGGACAATTGTCATGTTCTCCATGAATACTAAATTCTACTAAATCCTCTTAATCTCCCAAATAAGAAGTCTACAACCAAATTGTCCATTGTGAATGGTACCCAAGTTGTGCTGGTTCCCTACGGAAATTCAGGAACTTTTTGGAGATACAAGCGTGGCCCAGACTAAAATAGTTAAGGTCATTCTGAAAAGTAAACCATATAAAAGCTGGCATTTTGGTTGCTCAGGAATATTCCCTCAAATGTCTAGTAAGATAGGCATAGTCTCTTTTTGTCTTGTGTGGATATAGAGAGACGTGTGAGAGGTAAGAGTGTAGAGAGAGATTGCTGGGAGAGTTACAAGGAAAAGGACAGGGGGAGCTAAACTTAACACAGCCTTGTCCATACTGCATACTTAGCATGTGTTATCCTCAGAACCACAACCATGTCATTCTATGATTTGTTATCCTCAGAACTGAGGAAGGGCATTGTCTCAGAGAGTGCCAGCTGACTCATCACAGACAAAGCAGAGAAAAAGTTTAAGTAGTTGTCTAATTGCTCTGACTCAACCTCACCTTCAGACTCTACTCTATTTTGCAGCCAAGCTGCTTTGAGGAATCCAAATTGCAGCATCTTGGTCACACCACACTATCTCAGTTCTCTTCATCAGGATATCTTGCTGAGTGAAGGAATCTGGGTGGCCATTATAACATTTCATGGCTTTTTAATTTTGTTTTACCTTAGACAGACAGCCATGCTATGTGTAAGGACACAGGAAAACCCACAGACTTTTTGAGAGGAACCATAAAACAGGGAGGTGAGATGGAGTTAGTCTGAGTCAATACGGTAGGAACTGGCACAGTATCATTGCCACTCTCTCTTCGTCAGAAATCAATGGCCCTGTCCTTCCCTTTTTGCAAACAAATATATTTTCCTGCATTTTAATAGTAATTTTAAAAATATTAGTCCAAGGAACAACAATATTGCAAACGAGCCAAGAAAAATGTGTAAGAATATTAAATAAATAATGTCACAAAGCAGGGAGGAGTGGCTGATACTTCAGAATGCTCTGCAGCCCTTCAGAAGGATGTTGACAGCTTGGAAATGTCAGCAGAGAAGAACCATCTGAAATTCAACAAAGGGAAGTGCAGGGTCCTATACCTGGGGAGGAATAACCCCATGCACCAGTACAGACTGGGGCTGACCTGCTGGGAAGCAGCTCTGCAGAGAAGGACCTGGGAGTCCTGGCAGAGAACAAGTTGTCCATGAGCCAGCAGTGTGCCCCTGGGGGCAAGAAGACCAATGGGATCCTGGGATGCATTAGCAAGAACATTGCCAGCAGGTGGAAGGAGGTGATCCTGCACCTCTACTCAGTCTACTTGAGAAGAGACAACTGCGAGGGACTTTGTCAATGTCTTCAAGTATCTGTAGGAAGAGTGCCAAGAAGATTGAGCCAGACTCTTTTCCGTGGTGCCCAGTGACAGGACATGAGGCAATGTGCAGAAACTGATGCACAGGAAGTTCCACCTGAATACAAGGAATAACTTCTTTACAGTGCAGGTTACCACACACTAGAACAGATTGCCTGGAGAGTTTGTGGAGTCTTACTCATTGGAGATAGACATTCAAGAACTCTCTGGCTACAATCCTGTGCAATGTGGTCTAGGATGACCCTGCTTGAGCAGGAAGGTTGGGCCAGGTGACCCACTGTGGTCCTGACAACCTTACCCATTTTGTGATCCCGTGAAACTATGTGAGACAAAAGAAAACATGTAATGGGAGGCCTGATTCTTGACAGCAGAATATGTACCACATCATTGCTATTTTTTTGGTGTTGGATTATGTTCCTGAGTGATAGGAAGAATGTTTTAGTATCTGTTACCACAGAGAATGCTCTCATCATGAACAGCATGATATTTCTGCCTTTCATTAAAGAACAGTAAAATTTAGAATTCCTTCTATCACTATAGTGATAAAACTTCTGATCATATTGCTTGGATTTAATTTTAGAATTGCTCGCTCATCAGAATTTTGTTATTGCTTCATGTTTTTCTTCTTCCTTCCATGCATTTATCCTAAAGCATATTTCAGGTAATATTTTAATTTTATTTCCCTTAAACTTTCCTTTGTGAATCCGTGTCTGGTGCATTATTTGTGACATTACATGAGGACTTAAGACAGCTATAGTCTCTGGGGGAAAATGACATAAGAGATTAAGGTGTAATGCTAAACTACTAAGAAACCACAGTCAAACAGAGGGGCAGCATTTTGGCAAAAGCAAGTCACAAAGCAAACCCTTCTCTCCTTGCAAGTTTTCTTTTCTATGAACTTGAATCTGAAATCTGAAATTGCGTGTGTGCTTGTAGCTCAAATAATAAAAATTTCTTTTGTTTGCACATGAAAACAGGACAATTTCTGAAGTTATGGTTGATATATACTGACCACAGGCTTCCAAATTTTAGCCCAAGATCTGTAGGTTCAATGCAAATGTAATTGTTCAGATTCTCTGGAAACACATAATGAATTATACCAAGCTATTTCTATGCATGAACAGACAATCTATCTAAAAACCCAAACCCCATAAATTATGAACATCTCCTTGAAAACTAACTGCTGTATTGCTTCTGGTAGAGATCAGTGAAAAAACCTCACATGAAACTCTAAGAGACTTAATCATACTGACTGAGATAGAGCAAAATGGTCATTAGCTAACAGAACTAAACCTTCTCACTCACCAGGGTCTAAGTCTGAAATTGTGGATATCTTACCTAAAGAACCTTGCATGAACTTGATTTTTTATATAGCATGTGATCCATAAGCTTTGACACCTGTGGCACTTCATCATTCAAAATTTGTCACATTCATAATCACTATTTGGATGTGAAACTCATGCACCAGTAAATTAGTATTGAAAAAAGAGAGATAGAACAAATGATTGAGAATCTCTGGAAGAGAGCAACCTTCTGTAATGATGTAGCCTGTCCTACAGAAGTGTCACAATTTTTCAATAGGTAGATAGCCAGCCAAAAAAAAAAGCTAACAAAAAAATCCAACAAAATAAACCCAGATGAAAATGAAGAGGCAAAGAATTTAAAACTGAAATCGTGATGGTTAATATTGCAATATGACAGTTTGATCTCAGAATATTTTGCAAACAAGTTGCACCAAAGTAGTTTTAATGAATTGTTGATCATGTTCTGTACAGTACCAATTGAACAACCCTATCACATCTGCTATTTCAGAAGGCTAAAATCTGCTAAAATAAACACTTCACATTTACTTTTAGGAAAATGCTTTTAATAATCAGGAATAATTCAGTAAAACTTACTTCAAAGTCAAGGTCCGAATAACGTGATTTTCTTCTCTATTAAGCAGTAAAAAAAAGAAAAAAGAGGTTGCATTAACAAGGGGACTATTCACCAAATCATATTAATGATTCTAAATAACATTCTTGTTTTCCTATCAGGTCTACACTAGGTATTCTCTAAGAGGATGTAGATTTTATCTTGATAATTTAAGATTAAGGTGTGACTTTGCATTAGTTTATTAGACCAGTATCATTATTTTCTCTGAAATAAACAAGACTGCATTTCACTGGGATGCACAATGTGCATGTTATTTGCATGCAATTGAACCTGTCAGTGTATAGAATATTTCTATTTCTATTTCTATACTTTTTATGGTATTTGAAAATTATCACTATATTTATACTTTTTACACAGCTACCTATATATATATCTATATATCTATCTATGATTTGGATTTTTATAGGTATACAGAAATTGATTCTTTCCTACATCAAGCTTACATTGGTACAACTCCATTGGTTTTAATGGAATAAATGGCAGCAAAATCAAGCCGAAGCCATCTACACTTGGCATAGCTTCAGCTTGTTTGTTTGCAATGACAGCCTGGATGAAGAAAGCAATGATTTTGTTTTACACTTATGACAAATCTGATTCAAAGCATCTGATATAAAGCAAGAATGATTTACTAGTGGAAGTAATCACTTGTATAAAATGCAACAGAATATGATTGCTTAGACATATCACAAATAATTTAGCACAGAATTTTTTAGATTCTAAAAGAAACCAATTATAAAGTTAAATTATATCCAAAAGAAGCAGAAATATTATAAAGAAGGGATAAAAATATAGGGTTTTTTTCTCCTAAGGGTGGAAATTAAATGGTTTGCAGTAGACTAAAGAGATGTAGAAAGAAGAAGCTAGGTTGCAAGAATTGAATAGAGTGCAAAAAACATGAGATTAGAAACAAAAGATACGTTTCTCTTCAGGAAGGAGGGTTAGAGGAAGGAAAAAATACCCCAAAAAACCCCCAAAAGACTTGCTGCTACAATATAGCCCTAATTTTTGTGGTGGGATAGGATGGCTTTAAGTCATGGTGAAGGAACCTTTCCAAATTGCACCTAATTTCTTCACTAAGACACAAATCAAACTCACTAAGTCAAGAGGAATAATGTTTCTGACTTTGACTTTGTTTGTCTTAAGTAAAACATGCAGGTTTTAGTAAGCTGTTTTGTTTTCCTGCAATTGAAAGGAACGATTTTACAAGTCTTTCAGTTGCAGAAAGCAGAAGATATTTGGTCCCTGAGCCCTTGATAATACCACTTTGTGACACGTTGTCTGGTTTTGTAGTAAAATTTTAATGCTTCAATCCACAATAATATGAAAAACATTACTGTAGCACTGTTGACACTCTGATGCCTAAAGGGCTGGGAGGCAGTGTAAAAGAACCACAATTAAAACAGCCAATACCAACAAGCTTTGGAAAAGCTATTTTTAATCATCAAGGCTTGATTTAACCCAGCACATTTTAAAGAGAATATTTTAAAATAAATCAAACAATTCTTCCCAGCTAAGTTTCATGAAAGCATGAAAACAACATAGGTCTCGGATTTAAGAGAAATAGGAGGATATTATGCCCAAATTCTTAAAGCAGCTACATTCTTACTTCTCACTCATTTTGAGAGGGCCACAGTACAAGTGGACCTTTGACATAGGCCTTCATCATTCCACAGTAAATGAGCACCTGAAGAAGTCTATGTATTTCTGATGAGGAAGGATCTCTTTTTAAGCTGCAATTAGAGTACATCTACCACTGAAAAGGCTCAGTGGTTCCGAAAGGAGAAACATGTACAGCAGTTAATGAGGTGAAGTTTACAGAAGTAGCTTTGAAAAATGCTTGAAAAAGCTATTTTTAAGCTAGAGTTCAGTAATAAACCTGGTATCATTGAACCATCTGGCTGAGAATCCTAAGTAAAAATGCATAAAATTTAGGAAGAAGTGTGTTGTGTGGTAGGTACTGTGATTTATAAAATTAGAATGTTTTCTTTTGCCTTAAGTTTGCTTCACCACGGTGAAAATATTCAAGGCATAGCTGGATTATTAGATTTTGCAGCCAGACACCTCTATCATTGTTTACATGGCAAAAAGACATATCCAACAAACTTCAACATATTCAACTGTGCTACTATCAGACAGAGGGAACTATTGCAATTTTGCTGTTAGTTCACACCAGTTATGACCAAACAGGTTATACCACAGGCTTATCTCAGTGAGGATTTTTCTAGGGCTTAACAAGAATCTATCACAAACACATTTATTTTAAACTTCTATAGTAAAGAACATCTGTTCTGAGCTTGTGCTTCACTTTATTCCATAGCTGCATACAGTGAAATACAGCACAAGTGCTGCGAGTGCCTATTCTCCTAAGACATGAGACTGAGAAGTTCTGCAAGTTTCTGAAGACCAAAGGATGCTGGTTATGAATGTGACCCTGCACCACTGAATGTTATTTGCAATATTTTCACTGACACCACTAGGTACACCATCAGGTCCTCCTGGTAACTGCATCGTTGTCTTGAAAAGACTGTGGTGTTATTTTTTGAGAGAGGGAACACATTCAGAAGCATGAAGCCATTGGGAAATTTATAAGGATGAAAGAGTTCCCTTCAGTCCTAATTGGAAGTTGATATTTTATTCAATTGTTTTCCTAGTTTCTGTATGATCTATAACAAGCCTTAGTAATGAAAATAATTACTTTAATTGTGATTTCATATTTACTTGTTATGTCTCTTTTCACTGAGAAAAATGATGTTTTCCATACACCTATGAAGCCATTGGGAAATTTATAAGGATGAAAGAGTTCCCTTCAGTCCTAATTGGAAGTTGATATTTTATTCAATTGTTTTCCTAGTTTCTGTATGATCTATAACAAGCCTTAGTAATGAAAATAATTACTTTAATTGTGATTTCATATTTACTTGTTATGTCTCTTTTCACTGAGAAAAATGATGTTTTCCATACACCTAAACACTTTCTCTCTTTTCACTGAGAAAAATGATGTTTACCACACACCTGAACACTTTCAGAAATCAACCATCTAGCTCATTCTACACTCTAAGCTAATAAAAGGCAGAAGCTGGAGTAAGGAAGGGGGAAAAATTCCTTGCATGAAATGAGCTGGTCACACCAGCATGTTTGTTTTCAAAAAACTTGTCCTTTTACCGACCTGTAAAACTGAGAATGCTTTTAATCAATATAAAAATATCACTGAAAGCTGATGTTTTTTTTCAAGGATCAGTTGGAGATCCACTTGAGTATTAATGTTAGTAGAATATAAGTAACAAATAACTGTAAAGGATAACATCTATGGTTTGCCTCATTTTGTATTTTGTATTTGGCCAAGTTTTGCTGTGATGTTTCAGGAATGACATAGAGAAGGGCAAGTATAAAGTGACATTTCTGCTACAATACCTTCCCTAGTTCTTTAGTAGTCTAGGAATTTCCTTGGGAGGAGCTTATTTTGACATCTAAAATGTGCTGTGGTAGTGAATTCCACGATTTAAATATGTATAACACGACAAAGGAAATTATGTTCATTTTCACTTTGATATTTCATTTGATTTTTTTTGTTTCTTATATTATAGCAGATATGAATATTCATTCCCTATTCACTCCTCAGTCATCTGTTCTCCAAGTTGAAGAGCCCCAAATGCTGGAGATCTGCAAGTGTAAGTAGTAAAGGGACTATCTAAACAGCTGCAGACCCTAGCAATTATTCAGTGTCAGGGAGTTAGCTGGTATAATTCTTCAGAAAAATGAGGGATATGGGTAGGTAGTGATATGCAATCCATGCACGATTAGAAACACAACAACAAAAACCATCACAGCTCAGTTTAAGCAGTCAAGGCTGTGATGGGCTTTCTTTAATAACTTCCAGTACTCTACACTGGAAGAAGCCAAATCACTCCAGTAGACTGGGGAAATTTCAGAGGAAAGCAGCAAGAAGTACTTTTAAGAGGAAAGGATAAAAGTGATTGTTTAAACATTGGAAGAAGCAAACACACAAGCTTGTTCAGAAACCTTAGAAGGATATAAACACCAAAAAGCAAAACTGGTGTGGGAAAAATCTGAAAAAAATCTGAGATGGTATTGGGAATAAAGAAACTCCAGTAGACTGGGGAAATTTCAGAGGAAAGCAGCAAGAAGTACTTTTAAGAGGAAAGGATAAAAGTGATTGTTTAAACATTGGAAGAAGCAAACACACAAGCTTGTTCAGAAACCTTAGAAGGATATAAACACCAAAAAGCAAAACTGGTGTGGGAAAAATCTGAAAAAAATCTGAGATGGTATTGGGAATAAAGAAGATTTATGTAACAAATATCTTAAGAGTGGAATCCCTTCACTCTAGTCTTAAAAGTGAAGTTTGACTATGTAGTAGAGAAATATACTGTAGACAATGTTCTTGCATTGATAGAAGAGATGACCTGACAAGATTTTTTCCATCTCTGATTTCTGCAGCTCTTTGATCTTAATTGATAAAATCCATTTTATGTAGGAAAAAACCCTCCACCCTTCATGCCAGTACCAAAGTGAAACTCTGTGAAAAGTGATCTGCAGTAGTAATTTATTTTAAATCAATTTTACTTTGTGCTAATCATGTATAGCTTCTCTGTGTAATTCCAGAACAACTTTAAACTCTGCTGAGGGCCAAAAATAGAATTCTGAAGAATAATTTCCATACACCAGCACACACTAATCTGCTGGCACTGGGAAAATGCTGCTCTTACTAAATGACTAATAAAATCCCTCTCCATCTCTGTAAAACGACAAATGTCTGGTTTTCTCCTTATTCCAGTCTGCATTACACCACTACCTGATTAATTACATCAGATACTCCTAAAGATATATTGCATTGTGTAAAGCATAATTGAAACCAGAGATACCATATTATAGTGAGGGCTATAACCATTCTTCCATTAATATAAAGCCTTATTAACAGAAGTTTATAATTCATCCTGAGATTAGATTTGACATACAAGATCTTAGCCTGGGGAGGATT